TCATTTTACTATATGACTTGTATTATTTGTAATAGTTTAGACATGATCCAAATTTAAATGACAACTTGTATTAGTAGATAAAAATTGATTTTATTTTAATAGAGTAGATTGTAGACCAATATTAATCAAGAGTCTAGTGGCCCGGATGGAAAGTTTTGTGGAGATCTGGATTTATTTACTGTCTGTCTGGGACCCCCACGGTTAAAAAAAAAAATTGTAGACCACTCTCACTTAACACAGGGACACAGGCATGAAGTAGATCAAAACTAAGCTCATTCTTAATCTGCCTCTGCAAAGCCGTCACACATCGTCTAATTTTACTCTGAGTTGTGTATGAATTTCATTCGAGAATACATTTGTGGGTCTCTTCATTCTTTGTTTTTCCTATGACATAATGATTCGTTTCTCAGTTGGCTTATTATGGCGGATGAGCTTTGTAACTTTTTTTTTATGGGTTTTTCGTGGTATATATATGGAGTACGTCTTTTCTTCATTTTATTGTGTTGTGTCTTTGACGAAATGGACATGCATAGCTTCATTAGAATGGAGTCTTTTACTGAAGTCAGTTCTACCTTGACAGAGTTAAGTCTTGTGCTGTTGTGCATACCAAAAGGTTAATTACACAAGACAAGCAAATCAAAAGAAACAGAATCTGAAAGCACAATAAGTATCTCTACTTAAAAGCTAGTAACACAACATTTATCTTTTGTCTGCAAATAACAAGCATTCATAAACAATAGTCTGCAAGCATAAGAGTACATAAAAGAGCAAAACCACACATTCTGCAAACGGTATTTTAGAGGTCTCACAATAAACTTTTAAGTAGGTTTTCAAGTCTATAAACCATAAACACTTCAACGTCTTGTTGTTCTTCTTGCTTTAAAGAACCTCTCTCTGATTAAGATCAACTCTTTTGTACCTTCACTCACTTCCATCCGGTTCGTCGGAGATTCTTCACAGCATCCAAGTCCCACCTCCAAAACCTGTGTCAAGCACTCAGCAATAGGGAAACCAACTCTGAGACCATTGTGAAAAATTGATTTGTCTGCAACGTCCAACACTCTCTCCGGCAATGCAGATTTGATGTAGCTGTGGAGTGTAAAGTTTCCACCAAATAACTCATCAGTTGGTCGTTTTCCAGTGAACATTTCCAAAAGCAGAACCCCAAAACTATACACATCACCATGTATAGATGGTTGTCCTCCCACTCCATATTCTGCACCATAATTCATCAAACAAGATTGTAATGAAAAAAAAATACTATTATTCATTAGAGAAGTAAGCACGGCCGGCTTAGACAAGAGGACAAGCAGTGTGACGCTTCCGGATACATTATTTCTTAATAGGTAAATGTCCGATTTTTTTTTCAAAGATACATGCTTTTTATATTAAATAAAAGAAGAGGTCAAAAACAATTTTATATGAAAGTTTTATTTTCAAATATAATTAATATTTTGGAATTATCAGAAACTTCTAGAAAATATTAATTTGGAGTTTTTTTAAAAGATTGAGCAACAAAATTATCAAATAATTTTAGAAAAATATTAGTTTGGAGTGAGATAGTTTTACCTGGTGCAGCATAGCCTATGGTTCCTCTAACACCAGCTGAGCTTAGTTGGTTAAAGAAGGACTCTTGATCGAACTTGAGGAGAAGACGAGCCAGACCAAAGTCGCTGACATGGGTAGTCAAATCATCGTCAAGGAGGACATTGCTTGGCTTGATATCGCAATGAGCTATAGGTTCATAACAATGAACATGAAGATAGTCCAAAACAGAAGCCACGTCTATAGTAATATTGAGCCTTTCAAGAAGTGTCAAGGTTCTTGGAGGCCTACGAGTCTCTTCCACCACTTCCTCCGGGTGCAGCCACATGTCAAGGCTTCCATTGGGCATGAACTCATAAATGAGAGCTCTGAACTCGTTTCCTTGAAAATCAGTACTCGAACAAGCTGTCAATAGTTTCACAAGATTACGATGTTTTATGTCTTTGAGGGATTCACATTCCGCCATAAAGCTCTTCATTGCTCCATGTCTCTGCATGTTTAGAACTTTGACAGCAACAAACTTGTTCTCAGCAGGGAGGAAGGCTTTAAAGACAGTACCAAAACTTCCTGACCCAATCACATTGTCTGAAGAGAAGCCATCAGTCGCATTTCGGATTTCTCCATAACTCATCCTCTCATGAAAGACCTCCATTGCAGAAGGAGTTGGATTATTAGTCTGCTGCTTCTTCTTTCTTTTCTTGAGCCAGCACAGAGAAACTGAAGCTAAGACCAGGAGCAGAACCAAAGAAATGCCTATGCTGACTCCAATCACTGTTTTCTTTACACGAGTTGAACTCTTTTTTGTTCCTTCCATCAACGGTGCTTCAGTGAGGCATTGCTTCAGTCTAAACTCCTTGATGCCTCCACAAATTTTTTTGTTTCCGTATACTGAAACAATAGTAGCATTTTGAAATTTCCCTTGTGTTGGCACACTTCCCTCCAAGTTGTTGAGGGAGAGATTGAGATACTCCAAGGAAGAAAAGTTTGCAAAATATGCAGGTATACTTCCAGAGAGATTATTGTTGGAGAAATCAACCTTTTTAAGACCCACCAACATTCTTATATCCGGAATGGCTCCATCAAAATTGTTTCCTTGCAGCAGAAGTGTTTCCATTGGGAGACAATTTGCCAAGGAATGTGGGATTTTCCGGGATAATTTATTATGTGCAACAGATAGTAGAACAAGATTTTTAAGCCCACCAATGTCTTCAGGTAGAGAACCAGTCAAAGAATTACCTGAGAGGTCTAGTTTAAGAAGAGACTGAATTTGCATAATTTCCAGAGGTATAGTCCCATCCAACTTATTAGACGAAATCAATATTTCCCCTAGGGAAGAACAGTTACTGAGACTCAGAGGAATGGTTCCTTCAAAGCTATTGTTGAACAAGTATAATACGTTTAGCCGAGTCATATTTCCAATAAAAGATGGTATCTCTCCAGATATATTATTTGAATAGAGAGAAAATCCTTCCAATAGTGGAAGCTTACCAATAGAGGTCGGGAGCGGACCTGTTAACTGGTTTTCTTCTAACGCAAGTAATCCGAGGCTTATGAGATTCCCTATGTCCTTAGGAATGCTTCCGGAGATGAAATTTGTTGCAATCTCTAACTTTTTGAGGTTTCTGGAGAGATTCGCGATGGAGTTAGGCAAGTGGCCACCAAGCATGTTTCCAGAAACATCTATATGTTCAAGTCGGGTGCAGTTTGTTAATGCACTAAGAAATTCAAGATCTCCAAAAGAATGACTTCCGAAAGAATTGTACGTAAGTATCAGAATTTTCAAATTTCTTAATTTTCCAAAGCTCTCAGGAATACTGCCTGTGAGATTGTTCTCATACAAACCTACCTTTTGAAGATTCGAGATGTTGGAAAGTGTTGGTGGAATGATTCCTTTGAAATGATTACCTCCCAGATTGAACTCTTGTAGGTTTGGTAGCAGCGTACCAAAATCAGGTCTCAAGTAACCCGAGAAATGGTTATTCTGAATAAATAACATTTCAAGCGAGGAGAAATTGTATATTGCGGGAGGAAAATCACCTGAGAAGTTGTTAGATCCTAAAATAAGATAGACCATCTGAGTCAATCTAGCCAAATCACCCGGAACTTCTCCTTCTAAACTGTTATCACTACAGCTAACTACCATTAGTAATGTCAAGTTTCCTAGAGATGCAGGGATCTTTCCTCTTAGATTATTTTCAGCAACATTCAGAGCCACAAGGTTCGTCAGTAACTCTAGCTCGGAAGGAACACCTCCTTCAAGATGATTTGACCGGAAAGAAAAACCCACCAATCTAGAGCAGTTAAATAGGTTGATTGGAATTCCGCCTCCCAAAACATTATAGCTCATATCCAAGTAATAAAGTCTAAACAAGTTCCCCACCTCATGAGGGATGATACCTCCAAAAGAGTTATTAGAAAGATCAAGCCATATGAGAAACGAAAGATTACCAATAGATGGTGATATCACCCCACTCAGTTGCAATCCTCCCACGTCCAAACGAGTAACTCTCTTGTGTTTGTGGCCACATGTAACTCCCTTCCAGTTGCAAACAGGGTTTGAGTTATTCCACGAGGACAAGACAACTTGTTTGCCTTCAGAAACATGAGATTTGAACTCCAACAACGCTTGCCTATCAGTGTCTTTTGTAAAACCATATGCTTCAAGTAACATGAGAGCACTAAAAGAAAATAATAGAAACAATCTCATGCTTCACACTTTTTTCGTAAGAGGATTTGAATGCTTTTGATGGATCTCAAATGTAGCAATGAGGTAAATTATATGAGACGAATCAAATGCAAAATTTCTTTATCGTATTGCTGGGATAGTGCAACTTAAAAAAAAAAAAAAAAAAAAAACACTGCAAGACTTTTTAAAATTCCAGTGGACTTATAGTTAACATTACTGTCTGCTGAGTGCTGAGTACAAAATCCAACTACCTTCATCTTTTTATTTTTCCAAATAATTTAATGAATCAATTTGCTCAGTTACCTAACTTTTAGACAAAATTAGGAAACTAGCCTAATAGCTGTAAACTCAAATTCTCTGTAGTAAAAATGATATAAACTGACTATTTTACCTTTTCTAGTTAGACACATCAGTACTATATTAAAAGGAGCAAATACTCAATGCTGAAGCCATCCACGTAGATTTAAATAATTGACCAATCAGAAATCACCTTTTCTCCACGTGCACAACTTTTATGAGACTCAATGAACACAACTGTATTTGGATTTTTAATGACGAAATTTGTATGTTTATGGCCCAAATAAGCTTCATTTGTCCGTAAACGTCTTAGTCGATGGAAATCTACCGTCTCCACTAAGAGACTGAAACACAAAGTCACCCTTTCAGTTTCCATGAATCAGTTTATCATCTCAGATTATTACTACTCGAAAATAAAGTCAGAGAAGGAAGAAGGTAAAGGAGGCGTAGAATCACGGCGGGAACATAAAGGATGAAGACGTATAATAGTGCCATAGCAACGCAGGACACCGCCGCCGCGGGCACCGAGATGTTGTCTTCATCGGAAGCCATGTTCAGAAGATATGGTGAAAGCTCCAGCGACAAATCCACCGGGTAAACGTATAGTGAATTTTTACATCGTTAGTTGCAGTCTAAATCTGAACCAAGTCTTTCCATATTCTTGATCTAGAAGTATAGTCAAATTTGACCAGATCCCTCTCAGCCCCACCGTCACGGATTACTGGAGCAACCAACAGTGGATCCCTCTGCCGCATAGATCATGATCTGGTAACAATGGCTGGGTTTTATTTGAAAGTTACAGTTTTGCAAAGAAGGTTTCTAGGGTTCATGTCTACTATAATCTCTAAGTTAGTCTCGTTTCGTCTGAGATATGCGTTATGAGAAGCATTGCTTCATCAACATTCCAACGCTCTTAGCTCAATAAAATAAACATTCAGATGGGAAAAAAAATCATATGGGTGGCTTAGTTTCAACAATGGTAGTTATCTCTTTCTTTCCTCGGATGTATCTAATGGAATTAGTTTTGTTTTTTTAATGGATTTTGATCAAATAAAAAAAAGCTGAATCATCCCCTTTTTTTCTCCAGAATCTAAAGGAATGGCCAAATCGTATTCCTGGGGTAATCAATTAATCCTGACATGAACTCTCTTGTGTTTTGATTATGTATCTGATCCATATGTCTGTTCCAAATTTTGCAGAAACCAGTTGCATTACGTGGCCCTATGGCACCTGGCCTAGCACTGTTTTTTGGATTTACTCGCTACTTTTATTGTTTGTTTTGTTTCCTTATCTGATTAGGGGTCAAAATCATTATTTTTACCTTTCAGAAATGGTTGAGCTTAGACGAATCTATCGAATATCACAGAGAAGCCCATCTGAGGAACACCCGTATTTGTGAAGGGAAGATAGAGGTATTCTTCAGATTCTTTTATTTTGGTCACTTAAACATTGCGTTTGTGCCCAACATACATTTGGAGATTATTTTTATGCATCCCTTGATTCCTCATTTTTCAGATATCCAGGCCCATCGCTGAAAACAAAGCTGAAGCTATAGCTAAAACTGAAGCTGAAGTTAAACATGAAGTTAAAACTGAAGCTGAGGTTAAAAATGAAGTTAAAATTGAAGCTGAAGCTAAACTCTCGGGGAAGAAGGTAGAAGAAGATATGGAAATGACATGGTGGTGTGGTTCGGCTTGAGAAGAAATTAGAGATAGAGATTGAGCTCTGGTTTTTTCATTGTTGCTCTGTTTCTAGCTCTAATTTTTTTTTAAAAAAATCCTATGGATTTGCCTTTCGAAATATTGTTTTAGGGATACAAATGAGACACTTCAACTGATGGCTTACATTAATGAAATTTTTTGATAGGTAAGGATTATGGATGCACCATTGCGAGAGCGTGGAGATAACGTAGCAATAGTGTTGCAAGGGACTCATGCAAATCAGGTAATGACAGGTGTGTTGTGCCATCCTGATTACCCAGTTTCAATAACTAATTTGGACTAAAAAATCAGGTTAGTGTTTTATTTAATGAATATATGTAAGTGTTTTGTGGAAAACCTAAATATATGGATCAAACGATTGAAAAATAAAAGGCATTAGTTGGTAATCAAGCCTATAAAAGGCTGTCAACTTTTGGAGAAGCAAAAAGCAACGCGGAGAATCTAAAGAATCACAAAACCATTGTGAGGGATCCAATAAGTACAGAGTTTCAAGAAAGGAGTAATAACGAACATTAAGGTGGAAGAAGACATTATTAGACGGAGTTGTTTTCTTTGTGCTTGCAGGAAAAGTTGAGATTGCTGAACAAGCAGTAAAATGTTAGATGGAGCTGGATCTAGATGACACTTGTGGTTGTGCTCATGTCTAATGCTTATTCTTCTTTTGGGTTTTGAGATGAGGCAGTTCGATGGAAACTTACGAGTTTGTTTCTTGCGGATGTGTTAAACGGGAAAAGCCTCTGCTCTAAAATCAGAAGGTACTGCTCAGTTTAGTGACCATCTTGGTCATTTAAAAGACACCATATGAACTGATGCCATCTCTTAAGAACATAAACAACAAATTCAGTATCAAAAGTATAATCTGGATTTTGTGCTGGTCGACGAAGAGGATTGTTGTTACTTCCAAGCAACAAAAAATTACGTTGTACAAGCTCAAGGTGGAGACCTCTTGATGTTTTCAGAAAGAAAAGAGACAAATGCGAAACTTTTGGAACTTTGTAAAGCGTTCTTTCCTACGACTTTTTTTTTCTGGATACAATAAGTTTGGAACGTTGTATAATATAAGTCTTTTTACGACAAGTACTATTGTTTGGTTTGTCTGGATTTATCATTCACGTAATTATTATTATCTTCTTTTGTGTTTCCTCCCATAAATGTACTTGAATTTCTTTTATGCTAGAAATCTGCAACTAGAATGGGTTTTAGCTAACAAATTAATTATCATCAGTCTTATAAATTTGGGGGTGTATTCAAAGGTTGTCATTTAGTAATGATAATTCAGTTATAGTAATTACAGAAACGATTTCCTCCTCTAAACATAGCTAACAAACATATTCTGCATAATTATGTACGACCTTCTTTTAATTGTTTGTGGTTTATTTACCAAAGTTTCACATATTTTTTTTCCTTCATAACTTGGCATAAGTATATGGTACATAAGCTTCAGCTTATTCAGTCCACATAAGTATTGTTTCAATTCTAGGTAGTTAGATAACGAAATTAGGAAATGTGCTATGACGTTAGGTATTGACGTATTTTAGCATTTGCTCATGAGGTACCCCGTAAAAAAAAAATACCATTGTGTATGATTCTTCACATGTTTAAGTTCTCAACAACAACTTCAGTTTTTGTAAGTTTCTTCTTTCTACTATTGCAGGTACAAAACTACATATATATTTTTGGACTAAATTCTACATTGCCCCACTCACTACCATCTTCATTCTATTTTAATCCATCATAAATTTGATTTTTTTATTTTTTCTCAAAGTCTAAGTATGGTTAAAAAATCAATAACACTTAATGAATCAGTATTATGTGTAATATGAATTACTAGAAACTACCTTGAATTACTTTGAATTACTAGAAACTACCTTAAATTACTAGAAACTACTATGAACAAAAAACAAACTACCTTGAATTACTAGAAACTATTACGAACAAAAAAAAAGTGGGGCAGTGAGAAAAATGGTGAGGTAGTTAGAATAGTTATTTTCCAAGTGGGGTATATTAGAATACTTTTATATATTTTTGGGTAAAATGTATAAACTATATATGAAGATTATCTTCCGTTATTTTACCAAGCTAATGATCTACTCTACTTACACAAACTCCAAAGTGTAATATTTTCATTAAACTCATGAAATTGAAAAACTCATAATTTATTATAAATTTCTATTTTATTAATGTAGACATTAAATAAATTCATTATTTGGAAAAACATTCATACATATGTCAAAACCATTTTGGCTGTTGTGCTATATTAGAAAGAAATTTTACCACTATGTATAAATCCCTGTGCTTGTGAACCATTCGGTATTCAACATCACACGGTGACAATCTTATGAACGCAAACCCAATCTTATACGTTTTGTGATGATGACTCTCCTTCTTGATTTACAAATTTGTTAGAAAATGGTAAAGACAACAAATAGAGTGCTATCATCAAAATTCTATTAAGTTTTATTTATACTCATTCCTAAACATTGTAGAAAATTGTTAATCACCTTTAAAAAAACTTTATTTGTTTCACGTCTATAAATTAACGAATTAAATAAATGATATAAAAATTACAAAAAACACAAAAGTTAATGCGTTGAATTATTTAAATTTTATTAAATGTAATATGCAAAATTACTTTTCCAATTATTTTAAATATATGTTCCCAAAATTAAATAATGCATAATTCATTTATATGTAACGAACACAGAATTATTTTTAAATTGCAAAAATTATTGAAAATTATTGAAATATCATTTCTTAACTATATTAGTAAACGATTAATAAATAATTAACCCGGGCGTAGCCCGGGAAAGCACCTAGTAAGAATAAGAAAGAGAACCTTCATCTTCTTCTCTATTATTTATCTTCTTTATCTTACGATCTCTTCTCTATTCTTTCATCAACTCTGATAGCTTCTGTTGGAACTATTTTTTAGATATTATGAATAGTATATTCATATGTCAAAAATGAGATTTATTTGAATGAGAAATGGAGATTTAATATGTGTGATTTGAGAAACTTTTATAAAGTAACAAATATACATATTAGATATTTGGATTTGGGTTTTGATTTTGTTAGTTGGACTTCATGTTCATTAACATAATATTATAAACCAAATATATGTTGATCTTTTATATTGATAAAATATAAAAAATAAATCCATTTTAAAATTTATTATTTAGTTTGAATTGGTCAAATAAATAATAATTTTACTATTTAATTTCTTGGTCAAAATGTGGAATAAATTCACATATTAATTGATAAGAATTAAAAGACTCCATTAGTGCACATTGGAGGTTTCTTTTTTGTTGAAAATGAAACTTGTGCTTCTCATTGTTTTTCTATATAAATGGCTTGTTAGCATGATAGAAAGACACACAAACACACACAACAATGAAAGAAAAATTCACATTCCCTCATTTGAATATTATAGAGTTTATTTTCTTTTTGAGTCTGAGAGTACATCACAAAACTAGATTCGTTAGGCTTCTGATAGAGTGACGCACATCAGAAGATTTGTGCAGGTTTATCCTGGGAATCAGAGCGCTATTAAACCGTTGCACTACGGGGCGTTTAAAGATTTAAGGAAATAGATTAACTATCTCGACTCTGCAATTCCTCATTATTTATTTATTTCGATACTGTTATTTTGATTTATGTTCTTATTATTTTTACAAATATCAGTTGTCCCCATTGTAGTAAAATAAAGTTCTTACAGCTTCTTCTCAAATCTAATTCATCAAATTTTTTTTCTAATGGTCGCCACTGTTGTAGTAAATCCGTTAACGCTGGGTGTACCATGTATCTCTCCATTATGCTTCCAAAATTGAAAATTCATGGTTACATGAACTTTTGAATCAAAGATATCTCTCAATCACATGCCATGGAATCTATATTATAATAGTATCCTTCTAGGCTCCACAGTGCGCCACGTCAGCAGTTTTGTGGGTCCCATAGGTATTTTTTAAAACGCCATAATCTTGGTAAGATGATTAGGAACAATGAAATACACTTTAGCCGGGTAGTATAAGGTGTCTAACTAAGCTTGCAAGATCGTGGGTTCATACCACGTTGCTATTATCTATTTTTGATTTTTTGATTTGGAATATTATCATATGGGCTTTTTGTTTATAGGGTTTTTATGTTTTTTTTTTGCTTATTATTTTAAATATCAAAATAGTTGGATAAACTCTAAAGTTTAACAAGTTCAAACCCAAAAATAGTTAAAAATAGATCCAAAAACGAACAATATAAAAAACAAAAAAAAAAGTAACTCCCACGCGGATGGCTTAAAGAGCCTTAAAACTGTCATATTATAATATAGCCCAACCCAAAAATAATAAAAAATGGATCCAAAAACGAACGGGCCAAAAAACAAAAACAAAAAAAGAGTCTCATGCGGCTGCATACGTGGATGGCTTAATGAAGCTTGAATAATATAGATTAAGAGCTCAAAAAGTTAAATCATTGCACATATTTCCTAATATATATTTTCAAAAAAATTGTATGTGAGATATAATAAAAAAACAACAAAACTTAATGATTTTTCTTTATTTATTACATGTATATGTAATTTTTCTTATATTTTAATAACTACTATAATTTCATTAAAACATTTCTCACCACCGATTCCAGACTCCGACGAATGGATTCGCACAGTCGATACGCCGTATATAAAAATGCTACATCATTTATGAAAAAAACTCAAACTTACAAAAAACATATATAAAATATATCTAATGAAACTTAAACAACGAATATTAACTTAATTAAGGTTATTTTCAAATTGATAAATCATTTAATAAAAATACTATAAATATAGAATTATATCAAGTTTTGACCTACGATATAAAAACTATCTACAGCAAAAAAAAAAACACCTACTTTTACACACTAAAAACTATATTATAGTCTATATTCCTATAAACCTTACTTCCATATAAAAACATTAACACATTCTTAATATATAAAAAAATTTGTATGTAAAATAAAATAAAATAAACAACAAAATTTAAGTACTTTTCATTATTTATTAAATGAATATGTAAATTCTCTTACATTTTAATAACTACTATAATTTCATTGAAAACATTCCTCACCACCGACTCCAGACTCCGGCGAATGGATTTACACAGTCGATGACGCCATAGATAAAAATGTCACATCATTTATGAACAAAACTCAAACTTACAAAAAACCATATATAAAAACATATCTAATGAAACTTAAACAACAAATATTAACTTAATTAAGGTTATTTTCAAATTGATAAATCGTTTAATACAAATATAAATACTATAAATATAGAATTATATCAAATTTTGACCTACGATATAAAAACTATTTACAGCAATAAAAAAAATATACACCAACTTATACACACTAAAACTATATTATAGCCTAACTATTCCTATAAACCTTACTTCGCATATAAATAACATTTAACACAATATGTATACAATAGTTTCACTTTACAGTCTTATACATTCTTTTTATTTCATTATTATTTGATGTCATTAAAAGAATCCACTAAAGCAACAATCGAAAAAAATACACGCAAACACAATGATCCCATCCCCGCGCTTGCGCGAGGAGTATGCAACTAGTAATAATAATACGATTCATTTTGCTGAGACGACCCTTTACCCTCCTCCTGATATCTCCTTTTTATGGTCCCTACCTACTTTCGGTCCACTGGGGAAGTGTGTAATGAATAGGTTTGTTTTCGAATCTTATAAGATCGAAGAGCTGAAACGAAAGGTCGAAGGAGCAGGTGTCCCCGCACCTACACGTGTGGAAGTTATCATGTCACTTGTTTGGACATGCGCCAGAAATGCCTGGCGCTCTAACTTGGTGTCTCCAAGGTCAACGTTAATGCTTCAACCAATGGATTGCGCTCTAGGGTCCCTTCTACGGATGTTTTCTCCATCGGAAACCTACAGACAATGTTCCTTCTTAAGAGAGGCGTGGAAAGCAGCAGCAGTTTCGACTTGGAAATCTGTGAAACGGTTGCCGAATTTCGCAAGGCCAAGGAATCAGTCAACGAGATGATTAAAGAGAATCTCCAAGGCAACACACTTGGCCAGTCTTTAATGCGTGTCATTGGAGATTTCGCGTCAAGTCTCACGCCAGAGACAGACTTGTACTCAATGACTAGCTGGTGTAGAAAGCCTTTCTACGAGGTTGACTTTGGCTGGGGTACTCCTGCATGGGTTGGATCTACCTCGACATATAACAACATTGCATATGTATGCCTCATTGACTCAAAAGATGGTGCAAGTGTAAAAGCATGGATAAGCTTACCCGAGCAAGATATCCCCATCTTCCTCCGTGACCAGGACCTTCTTGCTTATGCCGTTCTAAACCCCCCGGTCCTGATCTAACCAATCACATCTTACCATGTGGAAAAAATTAATTTCCTTGACTCTCCATCCCATTTTGTGCCACGCTTGGTTTAATAAATTGCATTTCACTCTTTTTACATTTCATGTTGGGTTTGCTATGACGTGTTTATCTTGTTTTTGTTTGTTCGCTATATGTTAATCTTGCTATTTTTGTTACCTTCACTTTCTATATCCTTTTTTCGACCATAAACCCTTAATCCTAGGGTTCCAAACACTAAAACCCTAATCTAAACCATAGGATTCCGAACCCTAAACCCTAAACTAAATCCTAGGTTTCCAAAACCTAAACTAAATCATAGGTTTCTAAACCCTAAATCTTAACCCTTAGGGTTCCAAACCCTAAAAACCTAGGGTTCCAAACCCTAAAACCCTAACCTTAGGGTTCCAAACCCTAAACCCTAAACCCTAACCCTAGGGTTACAAACCCTATAACCCTAACCCTAGGGTAGGGTTCCAAACCCTATAACCCTAACCCTAGGGTAGGGTTCCAAACCCTAAAACCCTAACCTTAGGGTTCCAAACCCTAAAACCCTAACCCTAGGGTTCCAAACCCTATAACCCTAGGGTTAGGGTTCCAAACCCTATAACCCTAAACCCTAGGGTTCCAAACCCTATAACCCTAAACCCTAGGGTTCCAAACCCTAAAACCCTACCCTAGGGTTCCAAACCCTAAAACCCTAAACCCTAAACCCTAGGGTTCCAAACCCTAAACCCTAAAACCCTAACCCTAGGGTTCCAAACCCTAAACCCTAGGGTTCCAAACCCTAAAACCCTAACCCTAGGGTTCCAAACCCTAAAACCTAAACCCTAAGGTTCATAAACCCTAAAACCTAGAGTTCCAAACCCATTCCAAACCCTATAAACCCTAGGGTTCCAAGCCCTAAAACCCTAACACTAGGGCTAAACCCTAATCCTAAGGTTCCAAACCCTAAATCTTAAACCCTAAACCCTAACCCTGATTTAAATGTTTTCAACGGATTGAAAGTAATGAAATGAATTATATCAAAAAATGAAATTAAATCTTTTTCAAAAAAAAGAAGATGAAATTGTTTCAATTCTGCCACATGAAAAAACTACGAAAGGAATAAATGTTGGATATGATCCACACTCTTTGTTTTATTGGTTTCTAAAACTTGTATTTTCTTTTCTTCTTTCAAATTATTCAAATTTAATTATTTCATGGCAAAGTATTTTATTAAAACAACAATATACCAAAATTCAACATTTTATGATTTATAAATAAAGACTCGTCACGTTTCATTTGGATATAAAAATTCGTCAATTTTCATTATATTTTGATTAGCCTCTAATCAACTATTCTGTATGTTTTAATTATTTTTTTTAATAAATCTTAGTAATATTGTTTTGACATAGAAAATATTATAATGTTATTATAACTACCTAAAAGGTTAGTGTTTGTTCATAAACTACAAACGTAAACCAATTACAATATGAGATAAAAAAAAAAGGATGGTATGATGTTAAATTTAGTTAAACAAAACTATTATAAGTGGCAAAATCAGATAAATGTTATATTATTAGGTGAAAGAAATAAAATATAACGTGGAATGTTAAAAATGTAAAATGAGTGTCTTGAAAAATTGTAACCACTGTATATGGTTGCCTGCTCATAAACTTATTAACTTTGTTGGGTTGACTAGAATGAATACCTCTATATATGCAAGTCATGAGATGCGTTGCTTCAATTCTATCGACGATACTCTCCCCTAAGCATAAGCATATACCTGTTGACTTTTGAAGAGCTAGAGGGAAACGAAAATGGAAGAAGTAGAGAGAGAAGTAATCAAGCCTGCTACACCTTCAACTAATGATCGTCTTCAACTCTCCCTGCTGGATCTCATGAATAGCCCAGCTAACGTGCCCGTGATCTTCTTCTACGAAACTGATGATGAAGATGTCGCGCCAGAGATCATCTCCGCAAAACTGAAGAGCTCACTGTCCCAGACTCTGTCGCGCTTCTATCCACTCGCTGGACGAAGAGAAGGCATCACCATGCATCAGCTGCAACGACGAAGGAGCCGTCTTCACTGAGGCACGCACCGATCTCCTTCTCCGTGACATGCTGAACGACGTCAACGCTAGCTCCCTGGAGAGATTTTACCCGACAATGTCCCCTGGAGATTCTCCCACGGAGTGGCTTTTGTTGAGGGTCAAGGTTACTTTCTTCGGATCGGGATCTGGAGTGGCGGTCTCAGTCTCTGTCTCTCATAGCATCTGCGATGCAACCTCACTGCTGACCTTCATCACGGACTGGGCCACGACCACCGCAAAAGGGAGGATGTCCTCAAATAATAATAATAATAATAAAAATAATCCATATTATAATAGTACAATTTCTAGGCTCCACAGCGCGCCACGTCAGCAGTTTTGTGGGTCCCATAAGTATTTTTTAAAAAGCCATAGTCTTGGTAAGATGATTAGGAACAATGAAATACACTTTAGCCGAGTGGTATAAGGTGTCTAACTAAACCTGCAAGATCGTGGGTTCAAACCATGTTGTTATCATCTATTTTTGATTTTTTGATTTGGAATATTATCATATGGGTTTTTTGTTTATAGGGTTTTTATGTTTTTTTTTTGCTTATTATTTTAAATATCAAAATAGTTGGATAAACTCTAAAGTTTAACAAGTTCAAACCCAAAAATAGTTAAAAATGGATCCAAAAACGAACAATATAAAAAACAAAAACAAAAAGTAAGTCCCACGCGGTTGCCTACGCGGATGACTTAAAGAGCCTTAAAACTGTCATATTATAATATAGCCCAACCCAAAAATAATAAAAAATGGATCCAAAAATGAACGGGCCAAAAAACAAAAACAAAAAGAGTCTCATGCGGCTGTATACGTGGATGGCTTAATGAGACTTGAATAATATAGATTAAGAGCTCAAAAAGTTAAATCATTGCACATATTTCCTAATATTTATTTTCAAAAAAATTGTATGTGAGATATAATAAAAAAACAACAAAACTTAATGAGTTTTCCTTATTTATTACATGTATATGTAATTTCTCTTATATTTTAATAACTACTATAATTTCATTAAAACATTTCCCACCACCGATTCCAGACTCCGACGAATGGATTCGCACAGTCGATACGCCATAGATAAAAATGCCACATCATTTATGAACAAAACTCAAATTTACAAAAAACCATATATAAAAACCTATCTAATGAAACTTAAACAACAAATATTAACTTAATTAAGCTTATTTTCAAATTGATAAATCGTTTAATACAAATATAAATACTATAAATATAGAATTATATCAAATTTTGACCTACGATATAAAAATTATTTACAGCAATAAAAAAAATATACACCTACTTATACACACTAAAACTATATTATAGCCTAACTATTCCTATAAACCTTACTTCGCATATAAATAACATTTAACACAATATGTATACAATAGTTTCACTTTACAGTCTTATACATTCTTTTTATTTCATTATTATTTGATGTTATTAAAAGAATCCACTAAAGCAACAATCGAAAAAAATACACGCAAACACAATGATTCCAGCCCCGCGCTTGCGCGAAGAGTATGCAACTAGTTTCTTTCGGTTATTGTGTTGAAAGTAAGATAGAGTCACCGTGGTGAAACATTAATTGGCACCAATCCTCATTACATATGGGACGATGATTTGGTTTTCGTCTGCTGCTTTTTGAAATGCACGACACAATGATAACAACGGAGGAGAGAAGACACAAGGCAACATCATTTAAATCTTGTTTACGGTTGAAAAAATTAAAGATGAAGTAATTAGACAAAGAAGAAAAAACATTATTGAAAATTTTACAAGGATAGGAAAGAGAGAAAAGAGTACGTGAGTGGATGATATAATTAGATTATCATATCGTCAACAGTATCATCTACGGTAAAAGAGTATTCTCTTAATTATGGTTTATTGTAGGTATATACAATCCCCTATATATTAATTGAAAAATATTTGAAAAATTGTAACCTCAATTTTGTAATAATTAAAAAAGAGCCTATGCTTACGTGTCACTCAATTAGGTAGTCAATTACATTCAATTGAAAAATAAGTAGGTACACATTCGATTTTTATATGTCGTAAGATATATTTGTTGGTCAAACTATATGATATGATATTTATGATAGAACATTTATGATTGTCATACTAGATATAATTACTATTTTATTTTCTTTCATTAAATAAAAGATACAGAATTATCATAAATGACAAATATATATATATATATATATATATATATATATATGACAATTAATGTTTCTAATAATAAATATTTGATAACAATTTGTATCTCCTCAATCATTTTCTTTAATTTTATATTATTAAAATAAATCAAACAATCAAATTAGCTATAAAATTAAACTTTAGATTTTTTCTTATATGTTATATTTTTAATTTAAAAAACCAAGACTAAATGACTAAAACTATTAAAATTATTATGTTAAAAATTAATGATCAATAGTTTAACATTTTTATTAAAAAAAAGATACACATGATTTTAAAACCATATGAGTAAAAAGTATCATTCAATAATAAAAAAATATATATATTATAGATTAAACTATATACCATATAAGATTACATACTTATTTTAGTTTCAAAAATTTCAATGAATTTTCAAGAACATTTATAAATTATAAACGTATTAAATTTTTCACACTGAAATTTTTTGTTATCAATGATTTAAATATATTAGTTCCTTTTTTTTTAATTTTCTATTTTTAAAGATATTAACAAAATCGATAATATGGTTATTTTTGGTATATACCATACAAACCGAATGTATGTGATTTTATAAAAAACTGTAAGATTTGGATATGGTTTGATTTATAATCGATTAAACTGAAACATGTAAATATGTATATCTATTTGTTACATGAGTTGAACTATAATTAGGATTTGTAAATCACTTGAATCACTTGAAATATAATTAACTAACAATTTAATGCCACTGAGGCTTCTTATTTTCTTCGTCTTTTTTATCTTTTTTTTTTAATAAAAACTAAATTGAAGTAAAAATTATAAATTTGATGGACAACAATTAGTTGAAATTTTTTACAATTTTTTTTAATCTTTAAACAAACAGAGTTGTGTTCAATCGAAGACATATTAATTTGATGAACACTAAATATGAAAGAATATAAAAAAATTTCTTTCATGCTTCTGTTTTGTTTTTTATTTTTATTTTCAAAATTTAGAGATTTGATATTAAATCTAGATTTGATCATTTTATTAGTTCATAGAAGCTTTTTTTTGTTTTTTATTCTTTTAGTTAAACATATAATATATTTTTTAGTAAATGACCTTTTGACAATATGACTCTAAATATGATCATATTATTTATTTTTATAATATTTAATATGATTTCAAACTAAATAATGATGTATTTTTGTATGAAATTGAATAAACTGAAAATCAATATATAAACCAAATCAAACTGAAGTAAATATGGATTTAAAATAGTAGTTATATTTTAATAACCAAAATACTGAAACCCGATATCCAAATTGAACATTCTTAATCTAGATGAAACCGAACTTTTATTTCATTTCTAAAACGTAATAAACGGTGCAATCGCCCCGGATCCAAATCCGTATCCCTTCCGTATCTTACTAATTAAGGGATCTAATATTTTTTATATTTACATATTCTTATCATAGTCATTGGTAATGGGCAGAGTATTAATGTATGGTCTGAAAATTGGGTGATGGATTCACTCCCCAGGCCGCCACATTATCATCCTACAAACCCCATTGATCTCTCTCTCAAAGTCTCTGATCTCCTTATAGAGCAAACTGGCTCTGGAATACATCTTGGTTGAGACTAACCTTTGAGGAAGAGGATGTTCAACGTATCATGTCTATCCAAGTGAAACCCTCTTATTCTGAAAAACAACGATGGGGCTTCGCTTCCTTTGGCTCTTACACCACGCAAAGTGGTTACAGGTTGCTAGAAGACATCAGGGATCTCTAAGGACCAAGTACTACTGCTCTATATCCTCTGGAAACTCGACTCTGGAGTAACCTATGGAAGACCAAAACTTCTCCAAAGCTGCGCCACTTCTTATGAAGAACCCTCTCTGGTGCCTTGGCTGTCAAGGAGGGACTGCGCTCACGTTGCATAAATGTGGAGGCGGTCTCCTCTCCAGCTTTGCGAGACGCTCTGGGTCTTCCGCTTCCTCCAGCTGGTTTCTCCACCATCTCGTTGTTCCTCAACCTTCATTACTTGATTCAGAGCAGCAGGAGCATACACATTGACTCTAGTACCAGAAGAGTTTTCCCTTGGGTCTTATTGCACATCTGGAAAGACCAGAAACCTCCTCCTCTTTGAAAAAACTCAAACTTCCGGCCTGGAAATCCTATGAAGAGCTCAGGAGGATGCAGCCCTCTGGTTTCACGTTAACTGTCCGGTCACAACTTACCTCTGCACCAGGGAATGTAGTAACCGTTACTGCACCCGCTATATGGCATCCAAAAGACCTCAAATGCAACGTAGGCTTCTCATGGATTAATGGTACATGAAAAGGAGAGAGATGACACGTCACATGACACGTCAGTTAAAGGAGAGATTACAAGTTGCTTCATATAAAAAGCAGAGCTCCTTTCCTAGAGGATTATGGAAGAAAATAGTTTGAGTTTGTTAGAGTGTTTCTTCCTCTTTTCTGATGCTGATTTTCCCGAGAATCAATTACTCATGTTGTTCTAGAATCCTTCTTTCATCTCGGATTCTTCACATTTGAGTTGAGTTTCTTTGTTTCTTGAACATTGATTCTCTTTCTCGATCCGGCTTCACCGGCGCCTGCCATAAATTCGATCAATCATCAAGAATCTGTTCTAGTGAGGACACAATCAGGTACAAACGATTCGATAGGGTTGCAGATTGGTGAAAATCCACTTATTGAACTGATGTATTTGCGGGAAATTAATGGAATCATGAGAGATTTGAGATGCTTAGATCCAAGACAAGTTTTTCTGGAAAACATTTGGTCCAACCATTTCTGATCGGATTGAAGACTGATACCCAA